ATTAAGGCTCACACTATACCCCACACATGTGATGAATGCATACAATATCAAAATAGATCCTAACTAACAAGTGTCAACATATAATAACCATCTTGATTATAAGATTATAATATCATGTAACATTCGAAAGGTTTTTTATTTGATAAACAAGTTCTAAAGATTTTTCTTTTTTATTGAACTCTCAATCTGTTCAAGAATAATGCTACTCCATAGGACTATAAATATTTTTTATTCAAAATCTAATTGCTATTTATATAAAATATTACTCCTATAAAACTCAAAATTTTTACCTGATCATTTTATGGTTTAGAAAGAAGTAGCTTGTTAGCAATAGATAAAACAAACTTTGCTTGATCAAAGTTAGAATATTGAGGGGTGATTTGCACATTTTTTTCTATCTCCCCTTGTAAAAGAAATCAAATCTCTTTTTGCTAAGAGAGATTTGATTATTTAACGTGGTCTTTTTTTGTTGAACTTTGTTAAAATCATGTGAATATTTCTTTCACTTACCTTTGTGTATTGCTTATTGTTGATCTACTATATCTTTGAAGTTTTATTTGGTTTGCTTTTAGGAAGAAAGGCTAAGAAATCTACAGCAAAGACTGGAAGTCCCCTTTGATGGATCTTAGGTGGAGCATCAAGTAGGTTTTCCATTTTATTACCATGCTTATGATTTCAATTCACCATGTGTTCTATCTTGAAATTTATTGCCATCCATCTTCTGAATTATTTATTTGCTCATGATATGCATTTTTATTGGAAAAATTAGTGGATTCAAACAATTATCCTTTTGGATTTATAATCATTGTAAATCAATATTGTCCTCACATGCAGTGCTCAACATATAATTATTTGTCTTACATATAGCTCCTTTTCTCTTTGTATATATTGGAAGTGGGTGGATTTGAGCCCATCTCTCTAACATTGGGAACTAGTCCTTATCAGTTGAGCTACAATCTGAGTCTCAGGTGTTCTGTCATAATCTTCATGCAATTCATCGTCATGTTCTGTTATATCCATGTTTGTGTGGGTGGGTGGGCCAGAGTGTGTGTGATTGTCAAGTTGGGATGCATCCTTGTTCATGTATTGTTCACTTTTCTTGTTGTTTTACTTGCTCTCCTTGTGAAGCCATAATTTTTATTTTCAAGTTTATTACTGCTCCTGAGTATGCATGTCTATAACTTGAAAATGGTTTGTTTGTTTGATGTGAATTAGAGGGGTGATGACTATTTTCAATTTCTATACCGAAGAAAGGGAAAAGAAGAAAATGAGCACCTATATGGACATAGGGGAAAAAATGTTTATGAAATCTTTGTTGCTACTTCATATCTACTTGCCAATACAATATGGTAGTTTATTGTTTTACCTTACTGGTTCAAACTGGTTATATTGTCTTGTTTTCTTGTGTGTAATTTTTTCTTATTTGAATTGCA